CACATTTATATTATATTTATTATATATATATTATATATATTATTATTAATATTATTTTTTAATTAATTTAATCCTATTATTATTAATTTTATTATTATTAATATTTTTATTAATTAAATTATACTGAAAAATAAGTTAATAATCATAAAATATTGATAAGAATTGTATCTATTAATTCGATGCGTGAAAGAAAAAATAGGACCTATCAAAATTGAATAAGATAGAAAGATTTCAAAAGAAAAATATAAATGAGATTTTAAATATTGTCGAAACTTAAAGTTAGCGATAACGAATGTTGAGAAACTCCTCTTATTTTCGTCTTCTGCTTAAGATCAAATTCCAATGTTCAACGAATCAGCAAATAACATCATGATAATCTTTTTTTTAAATCACTAACTATTGATTAGTTTGTAAAACAATATAATATCTAATGTTTAATGTTCATAATTTAATAATCTTAACTTAAATTAATATTTTTTTATTATATGATAAATTCATTTTCATTAACATTTGTTTTTAAATAAATATTTATTTTAATAAATAAAAACAAAATTATGTAACTTAAATTATCTAATACTTCAATTATTCAATAATAAAATAATTCAATTATTTTTGTAAAAATATTAATCCTAAATTGAATAATATCTATACAAAAAAAAATTATTTTATTCTTTATATTATCAATTTATTTTTTGTTGATAAGAATTTAAAAAAAATAATAATAATTTTATGAGTATTATATATTATGTTATTTTTAAGTGTTTAATTTACCTATTATATATATAGTATATATAGTAGATAAGTATATATATATATACTTAGATATATATAGATATATAAGATATATATATATATAGTAGATAAAGTAACTTTTTGCTTATTATTTCTAATCATTTTTTCATAGAATTATCAATAGGATAAAATGGCCGACAATGATAAAAGTGTACGTTATGGTTTGAGTTGGTATGATCGCCATTTTGTCTCGCATACCAGTTCTGCTTCTATTGTTCATTCGATCTGTTCCATTCCATTAATTATAAGACGAAATACTTGATATTAAAAGTGTTTTTCATTTTTGTGATTTTATTATCGATTTTATAAAACATTTTTTATATTTTTTTTATAAAATAGAATAGAATTTTTTAAAATAATGAAAGTAAGTACTAATTTTTTTTTAATATATTAATATTATTATTATGAATGAAAATTTTTTCATTTATATAAAATATATATATAATTTTCTATTTTTTATTGCACACATATTATGTATAAAGTTTTGATTGTTTTAAATATTTATTATTTTATATTAATATAACACTTATTTTTAAAATGTTTCTGTGAAAATAAGATTCAATTAATAATAATTAAAAACTTTGATATTTGTATAAATTTAAAAAAAATATATATATATAGATGATATGGAATTTCATCTCGAAAATTATATTCGATTATATTATTATTATATTATTATTTTTAGAGATATTTGTTAATGAAAATTGTATGATAATGAAATTGATGACGTAATATAATATAGAAATTATAATATAATATTAATAATTTTTTTATATATTAAAAATTTCAAAATTATATCTTAAAATATCTTCATTTTTTTAAGTGACATATTATATTTTTTTTTATTTATATTTTCTATTCTTAATAAAATGATATTCTATAAATAATCGTAAAATAATAATAAATGGATTAGAATCCGATGATTCTAATATTCATCGATTCAAACGAACATTGATTTCGATATTGATTTTTATCTTAATTTGTTTATTTGTTATCTATTATTGGTTTGTATTAATTTATATTTTATTAATTCAGTATTTTACTAGAAATAAAAAAGTATAATATACCATTTAAAAAATGAAGATAAATTTTGAATCTTTGAAAATCTCCACTTTTAAAAAAATTGCTATATTATGACACTCTTTGTATTATATAACTTTCAATAAACTATTGAAATTTCTCTAAATATCTAGATTATTCTAAAGATAACAGAAATATTCAAAGTAATTTAAGTTATTGTCTCATCTTGAATATATCATAATTTTTTATTTATTCATATAATTTTATAATGAAGATTGTCTTGAAAAAATATAAAAATATTATAACTAAAAAAGTAAATATTCTAGATACTGTTTAATGAAAATTTAATGAAAATATTTTTATAATTATATATTTTTATAATATTTTAATAATTATTTTCGAAGTTATTAGTTTTTTATATTTATGCACATAATATAATAATCATATAATATATACTTAAAAAAAATATTTAAATAAGAAATTAATTTTATATATATTTTAGGGATTAGTTGCTCTTGTAACTGGTGGTGCTTCTGGATTAGGACTTGGTGTTGTAAAAAGATTTATAAAAAATGGTGCTAAAGTAGCTATTGTAGATTTACCAACATCTAAAGGAAATGAAATTGCTAATGAACTTGGAGAATCTGTTATTTTTACACCAGCAGATGTAAATATAAAATAAAATCACAAATCATACTAATATATAATAATATATAATAAATCATAATAATATATAATATAATAATATTAGCATTAATATTAAGTAGTATTAAATTTTTACTACTAATAATAATAATTATAAAAAATATTACTTTAATAATTTAATAAAGAAACATTAATGAAATTTTAAATCATATTAATTAATAAATAATTAAATAATAATAAGTAATTAAATATTGTGATTTTGTATTGCTGGTATTATTTATTGCATGTATATTACAATTAATATAATTAAAAATTATTATAAAATGAAATTGAAAATATAATTTTTTTTGATTAAATATTGTACATAATTTTGTACATAATTTAATATTATACATTCAAATATTGCTGAAAATATCTTTATATTAATGAATATAGTATTTTTATATTAATGAATATTTTGTATTTTTTTCTAGATAACATCAGCAAAAGATATAAATGTTGTTGTAAATGAAATAGATAAGAAGTTCAAAAAATTGAATATCATAGTAAATGCAGCAGGAATAGCTGTTGCCCACAAAATATATAATTTTAATAAAAATGTACCACATGATTTAGATAAATTCAACAAAGTGCTTAATGTAAATGTTTCTGGAACATTTAATGTTATTAGATTATGTCTACCAATTATGTATAACAACACACCAGATAAAGATGGATTACGTGGAGTAATAATTAATACAGCAAGTGTTGCAGCATTTGAAGGACAAATTGGTCAAGTAGCATATTCTGCCAGTAAAGGTGCAGTTGTTGGAATGACTTTACCATTAGCTCGCGATCTTTCTAATGTTGGTATTCGTGTTGTTACAATTGCACCTGGAATATTTGATACACCTATGCTAGGAGATTTACCAGAAAAAGTGCGTCTTTATTTAATGAGATCAGTACCATTTCCAAGGAGATTGGGTAGTCCTGATGAATATGCTCAATTAGCTCAACACATTGTTGAAAATTCTCTCCTCAATGGAGAAGTGATAAGATTAGATGGTGCTCTTAGAATGCAACCTTAAATAAAATTGTTCTGTAATTTTATTTAATGGAATTGGATAAAGAGGAAAAATATGGATATTTTAAATGAAAATTGTATAAAAAATATATAAAAGAGAAATAAAACAATTAACATTTTTACATGCAACACCATTATAATTCTTTTAAAATATACACAAACAACGAAAAGTTTTCATCTATTATAGGTATTGACAATTTTCTTTATTACCTTATAACTGTACATTAATGTGTTGTAAATAGGTTGCAAAAGTCGCAACATCTTTCTTTAAATAGTTCACTAGAATATCATCTAGCAAAAAAGTTGTGTACATAATATTAACATAAAAATTATTTAATTGTTCCATTATTCATTAGTCTTTCTTTCCAATAACCTCTGGAGATTTCCAAAATTCCAGTAAATGCTGAAATTTATTTTGATGATTTTTCGGAAGAGCCAGTTTATTTGATAAGGCAGGATAATCAGGATCTCCGAGGTCTAGTCAATCCTAGGCATTCGATTCTTTCAAATTTTGTAGCTTTTCTAATTGGTCAGGTTGTAATTCATCTGGAATACTTGCCCTTCCTCCCACTACCATTTTTTCTGGTACAATTTCAATATCTTCTGTTTCTTGTACTTCGATTACAGTACCACGAGATGGTATAGATTGAGAATTATCTGCTGTACTTGGCCCAGATGTTGAATCTGCTTCACTACCAGAACTGCTACTAATTGGAAATGGTGCAGAGTCTGTTGGTAAATCATCGACTGTTGATTTCTCTTCAATATCTTCGGTTGTTTCTGTA